AGGTGTTCTCCGGCCCGTGTTCTGAGAGCCCGGGTGCTGGGTGGTTTGGCACCTGATGCAGGCACTCCTGAGCTTCCCCAGGGCAGCGCGAGCAAAAGGACCACCCTTTACAGGACGGGGCCTATCCCGTCTTACCTACATAAGAGCAGCCGCCTGTGTGTGCCTCGTTCCAACATGTGGACTCAGACAAATGGTATTTCTTGTATAAATCCCAGACTTTTTCTGTCTTGACAAGACATTCTGACATCCCAGAAAGTCCTAATTGAGCATGATTTTATGAAAAAAATAAAATGGCAGTTGTTAAATGGAGACTTAGGTCAATACCAGAGGTTTTGATACCTATTACCCTCGGAGACTCAAAAAGCCCCTCCCTGGTCTTTTGGATTGACCTCCTTGAAAACCCGAGACCCACAGTGGTTTTGCATGTGCTAACATCTCCTAGGAATGGTAAGGAGGCCTGACCATCCCTTCTGTCCCAGTTCCCTCTCCCTCCCCCACAGCTCTGCCTCGAGGTGACTCCTCCAACAAGGAGCTCTGGGCGGGAAGGATGGCAGGCTGGCTGTAGAGTAGAGGAGGGTCCAGCAGAGGAGAACTTACAAACTTGAGAAAAGGGAGAATTGCCAGAGGTTTAGGGGGGTTTCGACCAAGAACCAAAGGAAATGAGTCACCATAGATAGGAGGCATCTTGACAGGATGGGCAAAGGTGGGGAAAAACACTAGACTTGTAAGGGAAGCAGGGAAAATGGATAGATAACCTGGCTGCCATTTGGGATGGAAGTGACTCAGTGACTGAGTAGACAGAGATGCGGTAAGGACTGGAGTATGACAAGCTCTTGGCATAGTCATTCCTACATCCCTGGGGAAGGAAGTAGGCAAGAGAAGCATCCCCATGGTAACAATTATGAAAAGCCCACACGGTAGGTATTGAGAGATTAGCCTGAATTGTATATGCATCCAAATCTCTCATCGTCTACAGCCTGATGGAGATTGCTTTGGCTTGCTACCGCTGATGTCAAATAACATGACTAGCAAATTCCCCTTTACTGTCAATTTTTGCTGCTGCCTTTTCTTTCCTCTTAACATTCCCTTTAAGGTGCGTGCTGGTGAATTAAAATTTAAGCCATCCTGCATATGGGCTAATTTTCTATTCTAGCTCACATCAGCCGCATCCAGGTGCTGTCTTTCTAGAAGCCAGGAGTGTTAATAGCTGTCTCAGGAATAGCTGGTATAAAGAGAAAACCTCAGAGAACAGAATTATACTCCAGCTTAACCTCAATGCTCCTTGTATTCTCTTGTGAAAGCAAGATGCCCAGATGCAAGGCGGTTTGTTCCCATGAGTGACTGGGGGCACTGCCTCTAATATCAGATGTGGCTGACAAGAACATTCCCATTTGCCTCCAGTAACCTTCAGTGATCAGGACAACCAAAGGCAATTTACATATTTTATTTGGAGCCGGTATTAGTTTCTTGAGATTGCTGTGGCCACCACAAATTTGATGGATTAAAACAACAGAAATTTATCTTCTTACGGTCCTGGAGCCCCAAGTCCAAAATCAAGGTGTCAGCTGGGCCATGTTCCCCCCTGAAGGCTCTGCCACCTTGGGTGGCTCCAGACTTCCTTGGCTTGTGGAAGGGATACTCCAGTCTCTGCTTCCAGTCTCATTGCCTCCTCTTTCCGTTAAAAACAAACAAAATAACCTCCAAACTCGTTTATAAAGTAACAGAGCCTTCCCAGACCACCGTTACTATAACACAGGGTGTCTTTCTCCAGATTTTGTTTTAGATGCATAAACAGATTTCCCCCCACAAAAAATGGGTATAAAATATCAAGTGCCTAGGCCCATCTTATTGCCTCCTCTTCTGTCTCAAAACTTCCTCTGCTTTCCTCTTATTCGGCATGTAAATGCACCTTTAGGGCCTACCCAATAATCCAGGGTAAATTCCTCAAGCAGTGTGGTGATTGCGGGGTGAGGGGGTATGGGGGGGAAAATGGTGACGGAAAAATAAATATTCACAGATTCCAGGGATTGTTGTGGACTTAGGTTCTCAGAGGCCACCATTCAGCCCACTGTATATATCCAGGTTAGAAGACTATAATAAAGTATTTTTTAAACAGAGAAATTTGAATATGGACTGAGTATTAGATGGTATTACCAATTATTAATTTTGTTAGATGGTAAAAATAACATGGGCTTTTTTAAAGTTAGGGATACATTCTTAAGTATTTATCTTGTCCCCTCTGAATAAAAGGTGAGTCAAGATGAGCCACATTTGCCCGGATGGTGTGGCTCAGTGGTTGAGCTCTGACCCACGAATCAGGAGTTCACCATTCAATTCCCGGTCAGGCACATGCCTGGGTTGCAGGCTTGATCCCCCGAAAGTAGCTGATCAATGATTCTCATCATTGATGTTTCTCTCTCTCCTCGCTTCTCCCTTCCTCTGTCTGAAATCAATAAAAAACATTAAAAAAAAAAAGATAAGCCATTTACTAACTGCTGAAGGGTAATGATTGTGTATCTTATAAAATGTAAGTCAATGACTGTAATCTCTTGTGCCAGAATAAGTCCAAGTATCAATGAGTGATTTCCCCCTGATTTTATTGCTATACATAACTTGTCAGAAATTTTATTTCTAAGAATTTCTCCTAAGAGCATAACCCAAATATTGTGCAGTGTGGTGTGTGCAACAATACTGGATTAAATGAATTATGTTATAGCCATACACTGGAACAGTATGCTGCTATTAAAATGTCAATATTTATTGACATGAAAATATGGTCAAAATAAATTAAATGGAGAGGGGTTATATAGCCATATATCGTATCAGTCCATATTTGTTAATAACAAAAATATATACATGCGCAAGCATACACAACACACAATTACACATATGAAGGAGTATATGCCAAAGACCACGATTTATACCAAAATGTTAACACAATGTTATTAACTCTGGATGGTGAGTTTGCAAAATTCTTATTCTTTACCTTTGAGCAGTATTTTTTTTTTCTGTTATGAACACTTCGTACAGATACAATTGAAATATAAGTGAGAACCACAGACTTTAGGATCACCATATGATCTTCAGGAGGCAGTATGTGTGCTTGGGGTAGGAAGCAACACTTGCTTCCAAGAACTGTGTTGCCTCTCCTGACACTTCCCACAGTGTATCCATACAGGTTCCACGGGTGTCACAGGAAGGGCCAAGTGTCTCAGGTTTTCAGAAATGATATTTCAGAATTAAGACAGTAATTCATTCTGTTGACTATGCATCACTTGGCACACATTCATTGAGCCATAGAATCCTTTGATCTGCATCCTACATAGATTAGGACTTTTACTTAACATATTTTAGGAAATATCAATGTGAAGAACAAGGACTATTTATACCCCACACTTCTGCTGAGCTTCTGGCCTGTTTTCTCAGATTCATCTCAAAACAGCCTCATATTTATCACATCTTTGCAGTTTCAAGCTTTATAGTTTTCAATATACTTTGCATCTTGCTGCCAATTCAGAGCAGTGTTTTTCAAACTGTGGATTTCCATCTACTAGTGGGTTTAGGAATCAACTTGGTGGTCACAATGCACATTTTTAAAATATCAAGATAAAATTCAGAGGGTAATAAGTCATGTTTTTGTAAAACTTGTGTCCACATATACTCATGACACGTAATATGAAATACATTTATTACTGAGTTGCAATAAAAAAAGTGAAAGCCAATGAATTAAAGAGATTAATTTATTGGGGAATAGATAAAATGAACACCTATTTCAAACACCCAAACCCTTTCCTTGTATATATTTGGTAAATTTAAATTAAAAAATTATCAAAGGAATATAGTAAGCTAGATCTCCAATTTAAAAACAAGTACCAAAAGTTTAAATACTGGTTCCTTAAAGTTTTTCTCAAACTACCATAAAGAATTTAGATTCTCAATTAGTTCACAAAAGCCAATTTAAACAATGTAGCTGCACTACAGTACTAATGTTATTAAATTACTCTACCTTGTTTATTTATTGTATCAGAAGTTCAACATATCTCCAAGGACACATTCTCCCCACACCCACACCTTGGTCCCAGCACCAAGCAACGCCTCAACATGCAGACAAACGATGACCATTGGGCAGGGCAAGCTGTGCTTCACAGTTCAGAGGAGGAAAAGATAGGAAGTCTAGCAGCCTAGGGAACTGAGGTAGAATATGGGGCCCTCCAGACATCTTCCACACGCCCCAAGTCTTTCCCCTCATCTGCATCCCAACTCTGGTACAAGGTCAAACATGACAAAGACATCTGCGTATCAACAGTGGTTTATTTTTCTATTTTAATCAGTTTTTTGGAGATTGTCTACTAAAAAAGGTTCACTCTACCTTTTTTCAGACCCTCAAACTGCTCTAATAAAAAATATATATCATCTCACTGACTTTAATATTGGTAATTTCACTATTGATATATGTTGATAAAATCATTAACTTTTTATCACCTGATTGCTTTTATCATAAACTGTTAAGATAAAAAAAATTCTGTTACCAACAAATTTCTCTGCATCAAGACAGACATGGTCAGTGCCTAGAGACGCATGAGTATCTCAAATTCTGGAAGTCTGGGTTATGTAGAACGCCATTCTCTATCTAATTCTGCTTTTATGTCCTGGGAAACAGCTGCTCTATGAAGCCCCTCAGTAAGATGCTTAGAATGTAATACAAATACATTAACCCCAGCCTCACTTCTATGGGCAGAACACAGACTGCCATTCCGGACAGGATTTACCCCACCTGGAACAAACATTCACCAAGGTACTAACATTCCCAGGTGAACTTACTAGCGCTAAGTGGGAACCAGGTTTTCAGTATGCTACCCAGTCAATCTCTTTCGGCTGTGCCAGCTGCTCGATCCCAGTGCTCACTGGCCCCACTCCAGCAGCTGCAGGAAGGGTTCTGTGCAGCCTGAGCTTGAGGGAGATGTGGCACAGCTGGCTCATTCTTTAATCACCACCTAAGCACACGTCCTCTGGTTTGCCCATCAAGTAGATGCAGTTTAATCCACATCACAAGCCCCAGGTCCCACACCTAGACGTTCACATGTCTCAGGGAAACTGGCTGCAATCGCGCGCCTCTGAGCAGCAGCCCGGGCCCTCCAAGGGCAGACATGTTCAGTCATAGCTAACACATGCCCGCATTTTCTGGTTTTACCTCTTGCTTTTGTGTACCAGGAAAAGTTTGGGAGTTTAACTTTTCAGGTTCTGCCAGGCAACCTTTTATTACATTGAAAAAGCAACACTAGGCACTAGATCTTGCAAAATATGTTTTGACCAATTCTAAACTTTCTGAAATTAAAAATGCATAACCACTGTAAAGTTTTTAATGAACAAAAAAAGTTAAATACAAACTTTCATATGCAAAATAGATTATTCTAACCTCAGAGCCAAGTACTAAATTTTCTTCCACAATTTTTCTTAGGGTGGAATGGGGGGTGGGGGGTGGGGGGAGTGTAAATCCTAATGAATACAAAACTTAATTTCAGCTTTCTATATAGAAAAAAAAAAACTTTGAGGAAAAATAGCTTTAAGCTGAATAGACCCTTCTGAAATAAACAGCTCAGGCCAGCCTTTACAATTCTGAGGTTTACCCTCAACCAGATCTGGGGTAAAAATGAAGATTTAGGGTTTAGTTACTTCAAATCCAGTTTCAAGAGCAGCGGTCACCTCATTTCCAGAAAGAAAAGTCTCTCGAGACCAGCGGTTCTCAACCTGTGGGTCGCGACCCCTGTGGCGGTCAAACGACCCTTTCACAGGGGTCGCCTAAGACCATCCTGCATATCAGATATTTACATTACGTTTCATAACAGTAGCAACATTACAGTTATGAAGTAGCAACGAAAATAATTTTATGGTTGGGTCACAACATGAGGAACTGTATTTAAAGGGCCAGAAGGTTGAGAACCACTGCTCTAGACCATTACAGTCTTCAGAAGATGCCTGGGCAGCCAGAATCCTTTGGCCACAGTCCACTTTCCCGACACCATGCTGGTGCCGGAGTCTCTGCCTTCCCTGAAAGGCAATCAGAGCCCTACCCCCAGCGCTTTTCCTGGCATTTTCAAACCTCAAAAAAAAAAAAAAAAAAAAAAAAAAAAGACCTCCCGCTTCAAGTTGGCAGTTACTGCTCCAACGTCAGAGAAGTCAACTAACACTTCCTTCCTCCCACCCCCACTGCTTTCCCGCTACATCTTCAGCAGGGAATGGCAGCTTGATTAACAGTCTTTTCAGAAATAAATAGTTCAAACAATTCAAAGTTAACTGTAAAAGAGCAGCAGAAAACAGCCACTGCCCATTATGTATGCAAATGAGTGAGTGAATGAATACATGTGAACAAACACAGAAAACAACAGCTCACAGAATAAATCCTGCATTTTCCACATTCACAGGGGGGAAAAATCTTTTTTAAAAAAGTATTAATTAGCGTTTGTTCCTATGTGGGTTGAATAGTCCAGGCTCTGAGCAGGCACAGTCTTACAAACAGGTTGCAAGCAGCCCTCCGCATACCAAGTCAGGACACTAGGGTGCAGGGCCTTCATGCATGTCTGACAGCTCAGTACCTGTGAGAGAACTGGCGATGCAGGGACTTTTAAACCCACAATGCATGAGGTATATGAAAACGTTCGTCCGTGAAAGAACCACCAGCAGCTAAGGGACTGGGCCAGGCATTCTCACAGCAACTGCTGATGAAGGATTTCCCACACCATCTTCTTCCGGAAGAGAGGCATCTGGTGCTGCAAAGAATCCACCAACAACACATACATTAACTCACTTGCACAGCATCAACAACTTTTAGGTGAATCATGCAAATAAAGTAAGATGCCATGTCCATTAGGTATGCCTTAACTTTTTTTTTACATTCTGGTGCAGACTTATGAAGCCATGAAAAAGGAGGTTTATAATGTTTATTATTATACTAGCGGCCCAGTAACTAAATTTGTGCAGGGGGTGGGGGGGAGGTGTATTCCCTCATCCCGGCCTGCACCCTCTCCAGTCGGGGACCCTTTGGGGGAAGTTCTACCGCTGGTTTAGGCCTGATCCCTGGATGGGCCTAAAGCGGAGGTTGGACTTCCCTCTTGTAATCTGGGACGCTGACTCCTAACCACTCACCTGCCTGTCTGCCTGATTGCCCCTAATTGCCTCTGCCTGCCTGCTTGATTGCCCCTAACCCAGGGGTGGGCAAACTTTTTGACTCGAGGCCCACAATGGGTTCTTAAACTGGACCGGAGGGCCGGAACAAAAGCATGGATGGAGTGTTTGTGTGAACTAATATAAATTCAAAGTAAACATCATTACATAAAAGGGTACGGTCTTTTTTTTTTAGTTTTATTCATTTCAAACGGGCCGGATCCGGCCCACGGGCCGTAGTTTGCCCACGGCTGCCCTAACCCCTCTGCCCGCATGCCTGATCACCCTTAACCTCACTGCCTGCCTTCCTGATCACCCCTAACTTCTCTCCCCTGCCGGCCTGGTTGCCCCCAACTGCCCTCCCCTGCTGGCCTGATCTCGCCCCAACTGCCCTCCCCTGTAGGCCTGATCGCCCCTAATGGCCTCTGCCTTGGCCCCCACCACCATGGCTTTGTCCAAAAGGAAGTCGGAAGTCCAGAAGATGGCCGGTTGACCCGTCTAATTAGCATATTACCCTTTTAGTAGTATAGCTACATTATATAGGATAGGATTGCTTAAATGGGGGGGGGGCATTTTTCATCAGGAGGAGATGCTTTTGGCAGACAAAAATACATAACCCCTATGTCTGGACTGATATCCAGTTGTATGCACTATATTGCCAAACTGGTTATTAAAAAAATTGAACCGCTTTCTTACACCTTACACCAAACAGCTGTTGCCCTTAAAACCCCTCATCAGCCCTCCACCTTAGGTTCTGCCTTCACAGTTCA